CATCCTCTATCACTCTTGAGCTTTGATAGCCTGGATAAAATGGAATTCAAATCTGAATCATCCCCCTGTGTGTTTGTTTTTTGTATAAGAGAAAGTCAATAGAGCATTTGTAAAAACAAGATCTGGCATGCTTGGTTCAACTCTTCTGAAATATACTTCAGAGCTGACAATTTATACTGTGCAAACAACTCACATCCTAAGTTGCTTTCTGGATCTCTTTTTCTGATAATTCAGTTATCTTTTAAACCTTTCCACTTGGTCAATCCAGGGCCAATTCTATGAGCTTCTGCTTCCTTAAGCATCTCAACAAATTTCCACTGGTTCCCAGCATGCAGTCACCCACACAAAGAGTTTTGAACATTTAGCTGCTAGTTGACCTGTATGATAGAACCAGTCCTGCATCAGGTCAAAAATGAAATGGAGCAGTTATATCTCTTGCACATAACATCAGACTTCCTTCCTACCTCTTTGGGGATGTATGGATTTACTATCAGGTGCAGGAATGTCACTTTAATGAACATGCAAATGCTTAACTGTAGAAAAAGGCAATTTCATTGTAGCCTTGCTTCCTAGACTCTCAGACAAAATTAGCTGTTAGGTTCTCACTAAATTAAGTTATTGTGAGAAGAACATTGAAAAAAATTAAGATAGTAATTGACAGGATTTATAAATTAGTTAAGAAAGGGGGATTGTAACGCTGATTACCTTTGGTTGTTCTCCAAATGGAATAAGAAGAGCATATACACATGAATGCATTTTAACATTAAAAAAGCTCGTATGCGGAGAGGAAAGCTACCAAAGAAGCCACAGTTATACTGTCTGCTCAGTGAAGGCTTAGAAGCGTAGGTGGGGTTTGCCAATCCCTAGAAACTATCTAGGGCTCAGTCATGCAATTGCTCCATGCACATGGAACCCTCACCTCTGAGTTGGGCACACAGAGTACTGTGGCTACAAGGTGGTGACACATGGTTACACGGCTGGTTGTACCTATGTTCCCTCTCAGGTCTCATATCTTTACCTATCTCAGAGTGAAATTCTGCAATTGTCCCACTCTAAGGCCTTGTCTATGCTACACAGTTTTATCGACAAAACAGTGGAAGTACACACACTGAAATGCTCCTCCTGCTGCTGTAACTCCCCTGCTATGCCGACATAATAAAATTACCTCAGCGAGAGGCATAGGGCTTATGTCGGTGCAGTTAGGGCAACACAGTGTCTGTGTAGACACTGCATTCTTTATATCAGCTGTTGACTGTCATGCTTGTCAATTTCACGGCTCAGGAGCTGGGCTGCCACCCAGGCTCCCAGTTTGGGCTGCCCCCTGGGCTCTCCACTCCCCATCGGGAGCCCTGCTGCCTCCAGGGATCCCGGTTTCCTGTCGGTGACCAGACTCCAGGTGCGGATCTCCCCGTCGGAGGTGAGAAGCCCATGGCAGCTGTCCTCCTGCTCCCAGGCTGAAGCAGGAAGGCGAAAACCCCCGGGGGGGGGGGCAGCTGGGCTTCTAGTGTAGAGCTGCATGGAGCTCAGAGCCCTGGTTCTCAGCCCCCCACACTGCCCCTTTTCAGTCAGTGGAAGCAGACCACCGACAGAAAGACAGTAGTGTGGACATCAGCTACTGCAGTAATTAATGTGGTGGCTGTAAGTCGACCTAACATAGGTAGTATAGACATAGCCTTAGACAGCGTCCTGGGCTCCATCACCCTGTGTACCAACTGTGTTTACCAACAGGTCCGACTAGGTTTGGCACGTGCAGTTCTTCCCTGCAGAAGTATGTGGCCAGTGGTGAATAGTTACCAGACAGTTGTCTTAAACCAAAGTATTGTTTATTTTAACAGTAGGAACAACTCAAAAAGAGCAAAAGGATTTTAAAACTACAAATAGTTTAAACACACATCTGTCTTACCCAAACCCCTACCATACTCCGATGGTTACATAGACAGGCCTCGTTTTTTTCAGATGTCCCCTGCAGGTGTCAGTCTCTGTCTGGCTACCCCAAATCATTTCCCCCTCTCTTGACGAGAGTGTTCCTTTAAAAACGGCTATAATCCTTTTGTGCTTCTGTGTAGCAAGGGTTTGGGACAAAATTGCTCTTGTAGGCTCAGCAGGAGATCAAGCCAAATGCCTCTGACATTGTCCTTTAACAACTCTCAAGTGTTTGCTGAGAGGTGGCTTACCTTGAGCTATTCATTGGCTTCCTGCTAGTTTTTCCTTACATTGCCCCTGTGTTAAAAGTATTATATCCATACCGTAAACATTCCAGTTACCAGGTCAACATACACTATCCATAGATTATTACAGTACAGCTCCAAATCCATCACAGGTGGGGCCCAGGGTCTTGACTTGCTGTTGTAATTTGGCTCTGAGCAAACCTTTAGGCTGTCAAAATTGACACATTTTCCAGATATCACCCAATTTCATTGCATATACTAGATGAGCAGGGGACGAATTCAAAGGGGTGGAATCAATGGTAAATCTGTAGCCCTAAGGCATTTGTTTCATAGTGCACCTGTACCTCAAATTGTCTTCTGAGCTAGCGAAAGGAAATATATCTTAAGCAACTAAGAAAAAAATTATATATATGTATATACATAAAAACCCTTGTACATGACCAAACATATGAAGAACTAATGCAGAGACCAATGATGAGCAAAATTTTGAGATGGCAAATGTGCTGCAATATTTAGGCATAACAGAAAGAGGCTAATTGTCTCTTAATGACCTGGGTTTCTGCTAGACAGTCCTTTGGTATTTGTACAGCACTTAGTACAATGGGGTTCTGGCTCCTGACTAGGGCTCCTAGGTGTTACAGTAATACAAATATAATAATAGTAATAATCTTAATGTATGATATTTTGGCATTTCAGTTCCTCATTTAAGTATTGGGCCTGATATAGACAGGGAAATTAGGTTGGTATAACTACTTCACTCAGGTGTGTAAAAAATCCACACCCTTGAGTAATGCAATTAAACCCACGAACCCCAGGGTGTGGACAGTGCTATGGCAAGGGGAGGACTTCTCCTATCAACATAGATACTGCCTCTCGGGGAAGTAGAGTACTGTCAACAACAGGAGAAGGCCTCCCATCGATGTAAGTAGCATCTCCACTGAAGTGCTACAGCGGCACAGCTGCAGCATCTAAGGCCATGTCTACACCAGTACTTGTGTTGGCAAAACTTTGTTCCCTCAGGGGTGTGAAAAATCGGTACAGCTGTGCCGCTGTAAGCTTGTAAGTGTAGACATAGCCTAAGAGTAGCCCTGCCCATAGTTTAACAAAGAGTCAACTAAGATTTCTCATGTTCATTATTCCTTTCATAGACCATAACACTCCTTGTGACCTGGTCATTTCTAATATGTAATTACAGTTCGATACAATAGTTAGGCAATTTTAAAAAAATCTCTGCATAGTAAAAAAACCCTTATGAAAAAGGTCACAATAGATGTGTAGTAGTCAGTTTGAAAAGATAATCACTTCACTTGTTTAAGAGCCTATAACCTAACAATTTCAATGTACTCAAATTGATTAAATAACATTATTAACTCTGAACTTCGTGTGTTAAATCAAAGCCTATTTTGAATTATAAATGCCCTCAAAAGAGTCTAAAAACAGAAATATCCCTTATTGTTTTTTCAAGCTCACTTTTTAAGTCCTTAAGTTGGGGAAAAAATGAGACTGATGTTGACATAGTAATATGTCTATAATGAATAAATAGAAGATTTTAAAGTTCTAACCCACCAGCAGTCTCATTTATCATTCCATTTTTTGGAAGGGAAATGAAAGATTTAAATGTCAAAGCTATAATGTCAGGACTGTTTATAATGTCAAGTGTTGCTTGTTGCATACCCTGGCTGTCTGCTGTATTGATCAAGCCAGCAACTGGTATAATAATTACAGATGATGTGGCACATATCATGTGCAATTGGACACAGATTTGAAGTGAATTTGGGAGAAAAACATTTTCATTTTCAAGCCTTGATAATTTTCCTTCATCTATGTGGTGCAATAGCCCAGGCAAGCATTAATGTGCATGAAGCTGATGCTTTCAAAAGAAACTAGCACCGGTGTCATGCCCCATGGTATGATCAGCCAATGAGTATTTATTCTTATAATATAATGCTTGTAATTTGATAACTGTTGCAGATTTGAGAGAGACTCAATCCTCAGTGGAACCAGAGAGAACTATAATTCTGCCTTTGCAGTCTGCTCATGAAGTTTCTTTTCAGCTCAGGCAACTAATCTTATTATTTATAAAGTAAAATTGTGGGATTTTTTAAACTGTCTTCTGGACTTTTTAATAATTGCTCCATAAGGAGCCGTGTTACTCGACAGTTCCAAAGGCTAATGAATTGATTAATGGTTGCATTAAGATTAAGGTGAGAAGAAAACTAGGTTTAATAAGCCCCCCATCAAATATCAAAGCATTAAGTCATTTTAATTTACAGATGTAATAAAACCAAGAACAGCTTTTCCAAATGGATGTTTATCTCTGGCACAGTAAGCTGATTGAGGTGTTTCCCAGATAATCCACTCCTATTTTAAGCTTCATTCTTAATTGATCCAGATAGAAGCCAATCCTATCTAATGGTTTATCACCACATTGTAAATTGCAGGTTAAACAACCTATACTTAAAAGAAGCAATTCATTAGCTCAAGGTCTTCTGCAAAGGTTAATTTTTGTACTGTTATCAGTGTTTATCCATTACTGAGAACGGTGTTGATAGTGATCAGAGAGGCTGGTTGTACTGCAACAAATAGATTTACTATTGCGTGCGGATAAAGTTTCATGTTCAGTGGCTGCTGCATCCATTGACAAGAAAGAAAGAAAGGAAAAAAGGGTACGGACTCAAGGGTGAAATCTCTGAAGTGACAATTATTCCTGGAGTTTGACGTCAGTGACTGTCTATGCAGAGCTTGGAAGATTTAAAGCTCTGTGAAAGTACTAAATATTATCTTCCCTGCAATATCCGTGGTGTCACAGACCCCACTCAGGGTCAGAAAACCTCAGATGCTGTGCCGCCTCCCACTTTGTATGACTTTAAGTACATTGGAAAGGTCAAAACTTTTTGAAATCAGTTCCAAGAGGCTTGCGTCGCTTTCCACACCATTGATAAATTCTTCTAATGTCAGTTCCCCTAAAATGAAATAAAATGCAGTTTAGAAACTGGAGGCCACAGGTTATTAGATCCCTCTTAGCCCTGTTGTAATAATTGGGCTTACAAATTTACCCCACTTGTGAGCATCACTGTGGGAAAATAGATTAACGTTTATAAAATGTCACAATAACCTATAACAATAAATGTTGATGAGAAAAGGTGCAAAAGGGAAACAGAAAGATAGAATTAGTCCAAACAAAAAGGCCTACTGATATAACTCAAGGAGTGTGTCAAGATCATGCCTGGTAAACAAGAGGAGTGTGGGACTGGAAATCAGTGAATCCAAACTGATGTGTCAGAAATTAGGCCTAACTGGTGGACAAAATAATGAGAGGATGAGCTATTCTGTCCATCAATCCCTTTTGGGAGCCTTAAAAGAAAACTTTGGGAGGGAAATTAGGAGAGAAGCAGAAAAGAAGCTGTCTACTGACAACCTCTGCAGTGAGCTTAACCATCATGGCTAACACTCCCACCATCTCCAGGAACCCCAGGATCTACTGTAATACTGTTGGGCATTTGTCAACCTGATATTGAGAAATGTCCTGACCAGACCAGGCCTTGAGAGAAATTAAGATGACATCACCACCTCCACTGACTCTGGCTGAATCCCAAACACCACCTGGGCTGTGAAAGACTGTCACCTCCCGCCGCCGCACCCCCCTTGTTTATCCTTTTCCTGCCACACCTAATTTCTTCTCTTTCCTATCCCTCTCCTTTTTCCTTCTGTCTAATAAGAGTCTAGCTTAGCTGGCCATTTTACAATACCGCTGTAAACCTGTGACCAGAAAGGCAGCTAAAAGCAATGCCCTAATAGCCTGACACAGGTCCTGGTTGCCAGGTCTTGGAGTGGCTCAATAGACCGTGTGCCATGTCTGTGTTTTTCCAGAAGTGAGGTTGCAAGTGAAAGTCAACACCAGAGACAGAAGCTGCATTTTCTGTCTTTGCTGTTCTTTTCTCTCCCCTCTAGCGTGTTTGTCTTGTTTTATCTATCAGGAAATGGGATCCAACTTTACAACAGCAACTACAGTCAATTTCAACTAACTTCTCTTTTCCCCAAAAAGGGCAGTTGTTACCATCTTTAATACCATCTAAAAGACTGTCAAACAAAGGGTTTTCTTTTAAAAGCTCTCTACAGCTAAAGGGAAAGGGAACAAGGGATGTCATTGAAATGAAAGCCTTAATTAATATCTCCCTCTTCAAAGGCTTTGACTGTTTTTCCTTTTTTTCTGTATCTTTAATAAATGGTTTAAACGATTGTTAATGATGTGTTTACCATCGCACTAGGCAAGCTGAGGTGCCTGTATACCAAACCCCGAATCTTGTTTAACACTGTTTCATGTTGGGCAGTGACTGGGATATGTTAACTCCTTTGACTCTTTGGACCCATAGAGTCCATCTAAATTAACACAATATCCAAGCCCTGGCTGGGATGATTTAGTTGGGAATTGGTCCTGCTTTGAGCAGGGGGTTGGACTAGATGACCTCCTGAGGTCCCTTCCAACCCTGATATTCTATGATTCTATGATTTTCTGTGAGTTGGGACCCTTGTTATTTTCGTGTTCTGTCTCACTCAAGATCTGAACAGAGATCACTGGGAGTATGGAACTGGCATTGCCTACCCTGCCTGTTTTATTTCAAACTCTGAAAATCAGATCATAGGTAGTTTTTGTCTGTTAACAGAGGAACTAATCAACCACAACTCTCACTGAAATCAATGGCAGCTGTGAATGCTCTGCATTTCCTGGGGGTGGGGAGGAGGGAAAGGCCACTAGTGAAAGCTGCATAAAGGCGAAACTTAACTGCACAGCCCTATAAAGGAAATGATAACACTTATGCAGGCTCCTCCAAACTATGGTGTTTACAGTTAGCCAGCTGCACAGCAACATCTATTCTCAACTGTAGTAATTAGTCCTGATGTATTTGAAGCCTGTGTTGTAACTGGACACTCAGAGCACAAATATTGATTAGATAATGACAGACTCACGTAAAGTGCTCCAGATTTCCAGAGTCTGTGCTGAACACCAGAATTACTTAAAGACAGTGTTGAGATGCAGCTATCAGAACTAGGAAGAAACAGTTTACTTTTACTCTGATTTTCTACCGTCAGAAGCACTGTAGCACCTCCTCCAAAATACTAGGCCCAAATCCTGGTCTGATTTCAATGTTATTTACAGATTCTTTTTGCTATGGATTACTGATTACAGTCCAATTGCTACATAAATCAGTTTCATTAACAGCAGAAAGCATAACAATATGATTGATTGTAGAGTCCAGAACATTGGCATTTGACATTTGGAGCCTGGAATCTGAGTTCTGACAAAAGATGAGCCAAATGACAGGAAAAATGCATCCAAGGGGATACTATTTATGATCTGTAAATACTGCACACAGGTTATTTTTAAAACTAAACTTTAGGTACCAATAGCTATACAATAAAAATCTGATAATGCATGACCTTGCTACACAATATTTTCCTAATATTGCTGATTTGTCAGCAATTGTGGTAATAGTCACACAGATGTTATGTGATTGCTACTGAGAGGGCAATGTGGTCTGCATGATCACCACTGGCAGAAGAGGTGATCACAAGACACTATTAAGATGCGGCCCAAATTATGAAGAAGTTTGATGACTTCATATTATAAACATTTGCCCCAACTCCAAATGGTGGATCAAGATTTTAGTTTCCAAATGCATTTTCAATTCTATGTTGTCTTGTGATGCACAATATTTTAGAAAAAAGCAATATGGGGGCCCTACAGCCATTATGTGCATGTAAGTCAATGGGCCTGATGATACTCTAGTTCAGGGGTGGGCAAACTTTTTGGCCCGAGGGCCACATCTGGGTGGGGAAATTGCATGCAGGGCCATGAATGTAGGGCTGGGGTAGGGGGTTGGGGTGCGGGAAGGGGGTGTGGTGTGCAGGAAGGGGCTTAGGGCAAGGGGTTGGGGCACAGGAGGGGTGCGGGGTGTACAAGGGGGCTCAGGGCAGGGGGTTGGGGTGCAGGAGGGGTGTGTTGGGGGCTCAAGGTGGGGGGCTAGGGGGATCAGGGCAGGGGGTTTGGTACAGGAGGGGTGCAGGGTGTACAAGGGGGCTCAGGGCAGGGGGTTGGGTACAGGAGAGTTCTGGGTGCGGCAGGGGGCTCAGGGTGCAGCAGGGGGCTGAGGTGCGGGCTCTGGCCCGGCACCACTTACCTGGAGCAGCTCCAGGGTGGCAGTGGCACACAACAGGGCTAAGACAGGTTCCCTGCCTGCCCTGGCCCCGCGTCACTTCCGGAAGTGGCTGGCACCACGTCCCTGCGGCCCCTGGGGGAGGGAGGGCAGAAGGCTCCACGTGCTGCCCTCACCTGCGAATACCTCCCCTGAAGCTCCCTGATCCCGGCCAATGGGAGCTGTGGGGGCAGTGCCTGCAGGCAAGGGCCGTGCACAGAGCCCTCTGTCCCCGCTCCCCCAGGGACCGCAGGGACTTGGTGCCGGCCGCTTCCAGCAGCGGCGCGGGGCCCGTGGCGCCACAGGAGTGGCAATCCCGCGGGCCGGATCCAAAGCCCTGATGGGCCGGATCCAGCCCGCAGGCTGTAGTTTGCCCACCTCTGGTCTAGTTGATACAACAGTTGAAATCAGGAGTAACTCCTCTGACATACATGTAAATGAGAGAAGAATGAGGCCTACTACTACTGCTAATCACTTCAATCTTTTTATACATATATATATATTCAATATTACCCCCATTCCTCCCAGAAAAAAACAATGACAAAGTCAAGTGAAGCGGTACAGACTCTTACCATCATTGTTTACATCTATCTTCTGAAATACCATGTTTGTGAACTCTTCAGGAGTCATACTCTGGTTGCCATTAATAGCCTGGATAGCCTGAAAACACAAATAAAGGAAGAGTTTTCAGGGTTTGGTCCCTCAAATTAAGAAAGGACGTGGCAGCAACTGAGGCACTTGTCTGTGACACTTCAGCTTAACAATCCATTTGAGCCACTAAAAGAAACAGCTATGAATTCAAGTAAATCTTCAGTAATGAGGATTGGAAATTTAATTATCATAACAGAGCCTGAAGGATTATAGACCTAATTTACATACCATTAAAGGTCTAGTCAAACCATGTGACACCTCAATTCTGAAACACACTTTAGATTCCACAGCAGGACTTGTATCCTGCCCTAGAGAATTCTATGGTTTGGACAATGCATAATGTTCTGTGCAATTTTAAAAAACAACAACTATATTTTACACAGTGGAATGAATATGGTGAGAAAATTTATGTAACTTTTCTATTGAAAAAAAATTTTTTTTTCCAGTGATCACAAATAAATGTCAGACGGATAGCCCTGGATATTGAAGGCCTTTACTTATCCTCTGATTGAGTTAAACAGAAGCTTCTCTACCACTTTCTTGTTGGTGGAGGGACTTACCTCTAGGAGGGAAAATGCAAATTGGTCCCATTCGGTTGCAGTCTTCTCTGCTAAGATTGTCATTTAGTGCCATTTGTGACGTGATGTAGAAGTATTGCCCACTAATAATGACTGAGACTCCAGTTCTACAATGCACTTGGCAAATGCTTAAGGGATCTGCTGAATCAGGCCTTAGAGTTACTATTATAGCTGTTGATCCACTGGTAGAAGAGAACTGAGGCTATGATTTTAGCCCTTTATTTCTGTTCCTAAATAGGGTGACCAGATAGCATGTGTGAAAAATAGGGGTGGGGTGGGGTGGGGTGAGAGGTAATAGGCGCTGATATAAGACAAAGCCCCAAATATTGGGACTGTCCCTATAAAATTTGAACATCTGGTCACCTTCTTCCTAAATCATCTCCAAAGAGATTTTGTTGAACATTTTAACCCAAATGACTCCTGCAAATTTATAAATAATAATACAATCTATAAACCCCAAGCATTGTATCTGAATATGTTTCAGTATATGGGTTATTTGTAATGATTAGCTATTGATTATTTGTTTGTGATTGGTCATGTAAATCTCTTCACTGACTGGATGGCACTTATGAAGAGGCAGAGAGGACTCAGGCATTTCAAAATGCCCACAAATTTGCATGCAGTCACAGGAGCATATGTGAGACTTGTTTTCCATGAATATTTTTGCAAACCATGAAGTAGAAAGATTAGTGTTCATCTCTAAGCACTGCCACCCAAGATTCAATCTAGCAACAGACATGACAAGTCAACACCTCAGGCTAAGTAAAATGCTGTCAATCAAAAAAGTGGGCCTCACTACAACTGTGTTCTCTGTATCAACGGGCTAAAGCCACAAAGTATGGCTCAGGAAGCCTATCTTTAATTGTAAATGATGCCAACAGACTCATTAAATATATATGCTCAACAAATTTGCTGTGTGATATAACCAGCTATGGATATAGATATTGCCACACTCCTAATGGTACAGAAAAATCAGACGTTAGAGTTTATTGTTATTTTTTTCTTAATATTGAAATTTAAAGTGTATCATATCCAGCATCTGCTGTGGAAATCTAATCATGACTGTCCTTGCCTTGAGCTATTTTATGGGCAATACTTTAATTAATAGCCAGTCTTTAAGAATAGCTATATGAATTAGTCTGCATTCATCTGATCATACTCCAAATTACATCCATTTTTAGCATTCTACATGAACCTACTGAAGCTTTGGGGAGAAAGTAGTACACTCTATCATGGTTAATTGTAGTGTAGTGGTTACAGCAAGGGAGCAGGACTTTATCATTTTACATTCAGATCTTAGGTTTACACTGGTTCAGCTTTCCTGTGTAGGGAAGACTTTGGTTATTATTGCACAAAGTGAGTGGTATAGTTAAGCTGATGCAAACCAGTGTGTGGACAATCTTATTTGGCATAAGTGATTTATTTAAGTTTATGTTAAATCAATTGGCAACTGGATTAAGTTAAGCTAAAGTAAGACATTCAAACTGAAATAAGAATGTCCACACCGGGGGCTGTGCTGGCTTTAACTCTTGGTTTAAAAATCAGTTTAATTTAAATCATTGCAATTTCCCTGGTTAGATGAAGGCCAGCTCAAAGAGTCTGCACCTTAGTTTCCCCAGCTACACAAGAGGTGTAACACCTATATTAGAGAAGCGTAAGGTTCAACATGGAGCCAGTGAGCAATCTGGGCCTGCCAACCTCTCCTCTCCCTCTCTTCAGAGCAGCTCAGAAGTATGAGGTCCAGCAACTTCCCTCTTGCCAACATATGGCTAACCTAGCTACCACATCTTGCCTTTCTGGTAGCAGCCCTTAAAAGGGTCTCAGCTCTTCTGGAAGATACAGCCACTCATCGGCAGCAGCAACGAATCAGGAGAAGACTCATGTTGAGTCTTCAAGATTGTATGCTCTTTGGAGCAAGAACCTTGTCCTACCTGTCTGTAAAGAGTCCTCCTATACTTCTGATTTGTTTTTAAGACAGTTCCATAAGTTTGCAAAGCACCTTAAGTCATTTTAGATGAAAGGAACTATTTAAATGCAAATTATTATTCAACAGAGTTGGTAGAATGGGGAAATGATTTTGCAAATAATTTGGCAATTGTTTGGTTCCATGAAATTTTCTGAATTTTTATAAAAAAATATATCACAATAATTTTGAGGTTCTTCCACACATCCATTACATTTACCAAAACTGCATTTGCTTACTGATAATTGAGTTTTTAAACAAATCTAACTGTTCTGAACACTATTTCAATAAAAGTTGATATTGTGGGAAATTTTACAAAAATTGGGAAATGGTGACAGCATCATTTTTTGTGTGTAAAAAGTTTAGTTTGAGAGTAGGCCATTGTTCTATGAAAAAAATGGTTCAAAAATGTTGATCAGCTCTATTCATTATGCTGGTACAGGTTTGTTCTTCTGTATAGTGCAGTTTATCAAAATAATTTCTCTACAGTAAATAACTGATTTATAGTATTTCTCTTTGACTCAAGTGGTACACCTGTAGGATAAGGCTTGAAGTAAAATACTCAGATACATGTACCTCAACAAGCATAAATGATGGCAAGAACATCTCCAACCAGAAACATTTGGTAAACTGTAGCTGAATCATTTACATTACATGGCAAATCACTCCGCCAAAGGCAATGTGCTATGTTAAATGGAATTGCTACTGTATATGACTTGCTTACCGTGAATATGCTTAGGAGTTCTTTTTTGTCAATAGATCCGTTTCCATCAGCATCATATAGCTTAAAATACCATTTCAGTTTTTGGTCGATTTTCCCTCGTATAACCAAATTTATTGCGGCTATAAACTCCAAAAAGTCTATAAATCCATCCTAAGGAAGATTAAAAAAGTAGTGTTTAACAAGTAAGGTCTGCTTTCATTCTGGCAGCAATCTTGCATAAGCAGGTCATCTAATACAATATAATATAAGCTCATTTATAAAGCACCTTGCTGTGAAAATCTTCCATGGCATTTAAAAAGAATAATACATAGCTCAGCCTAAATCAATGTGGAAAAGAGCCTTAGTACATATCATATCGTCCCCTGTGAGCCATGGGGCAGCTCTGTGCTAAGCAGCTGATATTGACTTGGTCTGGAATGGAATACAGAAAATGGCTTCTCAATATACTTCCATGCCCCAAAGAGGAATTCCAGCAGCCTGTCTTCACTGGTACTAATGATCCAAAATGACGCTCATTAAAATGTAATGCTTTGAAAAAGTGACTGAAAAATGACATCTTCATACCCAGCAGACCTGCTCCCTGTGGTGTTCGTGTGGTAAACTCACCCACCCTAATGCTGTTTTACTGGTGATCTCCCCTTCTCCCATCCTTCCCACCCCCTCCAATGAATTCTTAAAAAGAACATAAGTAAATAAAACTTTGTCCCACCATCCTACTGTTTACCTGTTGTGGCACCACTCATGTCCCCCAGAGATCCAGAACCCATTCATTTTCTGACTGCTGCCTACTTATAAAGGAACAGTAGTAGTGATACAACACAGAAGGCTTTGAGTATTGCCCCAGCAGCGACTGACAGGACCAGAGCTGGCCAGAGTGCATAAACACCACAACTGCTAGGTAGACTAGCAATTGCAAGACTTTGGAGTGCTGGGGACACAAGTGGGAGATCTAGAGGCAATTTCACTTTGGGGGTGGGGAAAAAGGGCAGGGACTTGATCTCTCGGTGGGAGGTCATTGTTACAGGGCATTGGGGCCAAGAATTTAGCTTTAACTATAACTCTGGATATTGTTTATCCACATAAGTGTCCAATCTCTCTTCGACTCCAGCTAACAAATTTTGGAATGGCTATAAAAACCTCATGCTTCAGAATTTAAACCAGTCTCTTACTATTGGATTAGGAGGAGACCTTCGTGGAGGACAATAGCCAACATCTGCCTTGTGACGCTGGTAGATCATGCCATGGCCCAGGCCTCACTGAACACTAACAAGTGCATAGCTGGAAACCAGTCTTGCTTACCTGTGGGTTAGTATAGTTAAAATAGATATTAGTGTTATAAGAATGTGTGAAGTGTTTAGACTTTATGGAATGCTTGTAGGATGCTGCATGTATTAATCCTACGTATTATATCAGTAGCCCATACTATAAAAGGTGATACTTAAGTCTTTGCTCCATAACTGTAAAATGTTTGTTCTGAAACTATGTTAACTCACCAAATAGGAAAAAAACTTCACCTAATGCAAAATGCTGGATTTCTAGAGGAGGTATTATCTCCTGCCCATCAGGAAGGACTATTGAATCCAAATGGGCCATTGTGGAACAAAGACTTTGTTGATTGCTCCCCCACCACCCACCCATGTGCAGAAGTGCTTGTCCTATCAGCTTGGGCTCTAGGGAGGTGGAGATAATAAATCCCTGAGCTGACCAGAGGGCATTAGGGTCTCTTTGTGCTGTCTGGACTCTGAGGGACAAAGATTCCTAAACATTAGCAAGAGATCCCCAAGCTGCTTGGCTTGGGTTAGCCCCGAATGACATGAAAGCTTGCTTATTATAGAAGCTTCTGTTAGCTTTTGAATTTAAGTTTGTATCTCATTTGTGTGTGTGTGTATGCTTACCTGCTTTAACTTTGTAAATAACTCTCACTTCTTTTTCCTGCTTAACAAACCTTTAGTTAGCTTGTTACAATATTGGCTACAAGCCATGTCTTTGGTGTGAGATCTAGGGTGCAAATTGACCTGGGGTAAGTGACTGATCCTTTGGCACTGGGAGTAACCTGAATATTTTGTGATCTTTTGTGTAAAAGAGACAATATATCACCGAGTCAAGCTTGCCTGGGTGACAAGATAGAACAGAATGCCCAAGGGGACTGTGTGTGGCTCCAAGTTAAGACTGTATAGTGCCTGAGGAGTTTACACTTGTTACTTGGTTGTGAAATCGAATGATAGAGTGGGATTTGTGCCCTGGTTCATAATGATCTGCCCTGAGGTGGGTATTCTTGCTCATGAACCACTCCGGACAGTATGGCACACCTACTGCAGCATTTTTTGCTCCTTCTCTGAAGCATGTAATGCTGGCCACTCTCAGAGATGGGACACTAGATTAGATGGTCCACAGATCTGATCCAGTTTGATAGTTTCTATGATATGGAGTAGTGCTGAAGATGCAGAAAGCAAAGAAGAATTTGAAGGGGAATTTACTCCAGTCATATCTCAATCACATATCAAAAATTCGCAGTTGGGTAATTTTCTTGTGATCTTCCTCTAGGGTCTGAATCATATCCCTTTGAAGGATCTGGCCGATATTCATGTTAATAATAAAAGAGAGGCAGTATTGCAAGGACTGCCTGGGTATTTAAGAAGTTATAATTTGTAATTTATAGTTACTGCCAGAACATTAAGAGGCATTTGGATTGTTGAGGACTTTGCAATTAATAAATGCTAAAATCCTTATTTGGTGCTCACATGAAACAATAATGTTAATGAATAAAAACTCTTTAAAAAGAAGACTATACAAAGGGAGAAAATAGGGGACTATGTTCAAGTGTTTAAAGAGATCAGTCCTTGCTTGAAAGTTTTAAATGATAGAAATTGTTCTTGTAGGTGGTGGCTCTCAAGATTTTAATAGACCATAAGAAGTTTCTTGTTTTTTCTCCAAAAAGAAACACATATATAAAATGTGAGAGGCAAGAACACCGAGAGTTGTGAAAATGTACCTTCTGTCTCTGGTCTGTAATTCAGCTGCTTGAAGACAGACAACACGAGTCAATTAAGACCTCTGGGAATCACAGCTAACTATTAATGAGATCAAGATGCTCAGAAATTATTTTCAACCTTGCTAAGCTGGCCACAGCCAAGGGTTGCAAGATTAGATCTATCCTAACTGGCTAACACAGACCCTTACTCCAATATGGTGTGAATACTTTTCTGGTCCAGGAAGAGGCAAGCCCAAAAGGTGTGATGGAGCTACCTGGATCCCAGTGTCTTGTAGTGATAGGGACTTTTCCATTAACTAGTGGAATTATTTTTACTGGTGTAATATAGATAAGAATATGGTGCTTAGCATTTACACCCTTCCAATAATCATATAAAGATAGATTCTTCATTCATGGTTAGGGGATAAACAGATTGTCAGTGAAATTTGCCAGCCATTGCATGAAGGTGTTAAGACCAAGCCTGATACCGAACCTGACAATATGAAATTGGACACCTCTCCAGAATTTGATGTGTCATATAGCACAACCTCTGGTATATGCTTCTTTGGACAGTGTCTAGTCTCCATGGCAGTATCATGTCCACACCAGTTTAAATTTTGATTTTTCAAGTGTGATTTCATGAAACAATTTATAAAAAGCTTTACTGAAACCCAGATTTATTATACTGAGCGCGTGACCTTCTTCCTCTAATTTTATAATTGTGTTAAGAAAGTGATCAGATGTGTCTGGCACTGTTGCTTTTTGAGAAGTTCATGCTGCTTATTTCTCATGGAACTACAGATAAACTTTAGGCTTACTCAGCAACTATTAACAGGATCTACTTTCTTCCCTCTCTCTGGGCTGGTTTACACTACGGGGTTAGGTCAAATTTAGCTGCGTTAAGTCGATTTTAAAATGAATGCGTCTACACAACCAACCCCGTTCCGTCGACCTAAAGGGCTCTTAAAATCGACTTCTGTACTCCTCCCCAACGAGGTGAGTAGTGCTAAAATCGACTTTGCTGAGTCGAATTTGGGGTAGTGCAGACACAATTCGGCGGTATTGGCATCCAGGAGCTATCCCAGAGTGCACCAATGTCACCGCTCTGGACAGCACTTTGAATTCCAATGCACTAGCCAGGTACACAGGAAAAGCCTCAGGAAATTTTGAATTTCATTTCCTGTTCGCAGGGCCGGCTCCAGGCACCAGCCGACCAAGCACGTGCTTGGCCGCCCCTTGCAAGGTGCCGCCCCAATCTTGGGGTGGCGGGGCGGTGCTCGGGGGTTTTTAAAATTTTTTTTTGGTTTGGCAGGGCGGCGCTCGGGGTTTTTTTTGTTTTGTTTTTGTTTCAGCGGGGTGGCGCTTGGGGGGGGTGTTGTTTTTGTTTCGCCGGCCGGCACGGGGGGGGGGGGGGATTGTTACGGCGGGGCGGCACTCTTTTTGTTTTTGCTTGGGGCGGCAAAAAAGTTAGAGCCGACCCTGCCTGTTCGGTCAGCATGGCAAGCTCAGCAGCACAAGTGTTTTTTCTTTCTAATAAAGTTCTGTGGGTTTTTTGGTTTTTGTTTTTTTATAATCTGATCGGGTTTTTTTAGTGGTCTAAAAAACCCCCAAGGTTGGTTCGTGCTCATCTTGTTTATTCTCAAGCTTCCCCAGGAAAGGGGGTGTAGGGCTTGGGAGAATATTAGGGGAAAGTAGGAACTCCAAGTGGTCCTTTCCCTGAGTTTTGTCTAATCACTTGGTGGTGGCAGCGTTACCTAATCCAAGGTACAAGGGAGAATTTGTGCCTTGGGGAGCTTTTAACCTAAGCTGGTAGAAATAAGCTTAGGGGATCTTTCATGCGGGTCCCCACATCTGTACCCTAGAGTTCAGAGTGGGGAGGGAACCCTGACAACAGGTAACCATACAGTTTCCCCAGAATCGCAAATGAGCTCCAGCATGGACTGAAAGGGAGACACTGGATCCGATTGCTGTATGGGGAGAAGACTCTGTGCAGGCCGAACTCTGATCACACAGGGCATGGTGGACAGAGGCTACAACAGGGACACACAGCAGTGCCACGTGAAAATCAAGTAGCTCAGGCAAGCCTACCAAAAGACAAAGGAGGCAAATGGTCGCTCCGGGTCAGAGCCCCATACATGCCACTTCTATGATCAGAAGCATGGCATTCTAGGGGGGGACC